TTTTTAACATGTAATTTTTAACATGTAATTTTTAACATGTAATTCTTAAAATAGTACAATTCTTGACCAGTTTATTTTGCTGGGTTTTTTCCCCCTCAGTGTGAACAGTGCTAACCTGTATTATTTTAAGACCTGGAAAATGACTAAAATGCTTTCTAATGCTTCAAATATTTGAATATGTGGAAGAAGACAACCTTTTCCAGGATATTTTGCATTTATCAGTGCTGTTTGTGCCCCTGCTGTTTGCCCAGGGCAGGGAAATGTGCTTTCCTTTCACACACAGCTTGTTTTCCTCTTGCCCACAGTTCTCTGCATCCAGTGATTTCCTTCACTCCCCGAAGCTCCAGCCCTCCCAAGGAGTCCCAGCCAGCCAGGAGTTATTTTTTAGTAGAAAAAGAGCTTCCAGGACTTTATTCCAGAGCGGTGTGGAAGTGAACTCTGGGAATTCTGCCGTTTGTGCTGGTGAGTGTGAGCAGGGCAGGGTTCGAGCTGCCCTGACAGAACAGACACATTTTGGTGCTTCAGGAGCCAAAGGGCTCCTCAAGAGCCTGGGCAAGACCAGACCTGATTTGTTCTGTCCCCGTGGCCCTTTGTGAGCAGCCCTGAGGCCTTGCCAAGGCTGCTCCCTCGCTGTGTTTTGGGGTTTTTGGGTGTTTATTTCCCTTTATTGTCACACGCTCAAAGAGGGGATTGTTCCGGGGTTTCTTTTGCCCCCCTACAATTCCTGGTTGGAGCAGGGCCCTGGAGGAACAGCCAGTCCTTTCCATTTTCCCCTCTGAGCTGTATTAGGGGGTTGCTTAGAGACTCTGGAATTAAATACTCTCAGTGTATTTGGATTTTACACTCAGAGCTGCACAGAGTCCTAATTCCCCAGGAAATGTTGTTGTGCATTCTTTGCTGAACACCACGTGTTTCTGAGCCAGGGATTTGTGTTTGCTCTTGGAAGGTGCTATGGGCTCTCACCAGCCCCAAATTTCAGGGAAGTGTGGGACACTTGGATACCCACAGGCACGTGGGAAGAGTGGCAGTGTGGACTCGGAATTACAGTTTTTGGGACTGAACAACTGTCAGCAGGACAAAGGTATGTGGGTTGTGACAGTGTCCTAAGTCAGTGCATGGCACTCTGGAATTACCTCCTTATTTCTTTGCTGCCTTAAGAAATAACAACTGTTACTGAAAGGCTTTCCAGTCCCTGGTCAGACACATTTGTGCCTCCTCCTTTGTATTTTCATTAGTGGTTAAATTACAGCTCCCACCTTTGATATTTAACTCTATCAGGGTGTTACAGCACCACCTTTTCTGTAAGAGAATCAGAACTGTGTTTGACCTACTTGTGTCATCCTTTTATTTTAAAGGTAGTTCTCCAAAACAAGCCTGAGAAATAGTTTAAGGCTTAAACTCATATTTGGATGGGCAGTGCAAAGTGCAAAATGAAGGCACCTGATTTGCCTGCTTGGGTAAAACCTTTAGGCTCTGACAGTCTAGATGGTGTATTACTGCATTGCAAATTATGATTATGGTGTATTATTTAATTATTTCTATGATGTATTCTTTTATTATAAATTACTGTGGTGTATTATTTAATTGCAAATTTTTATGGTGTATTGTTTCCTTGTAAATTGTTGCGGTGTGACATTTCACTGTGATTTATTTTTGTGGTGCATTATTTGATTGTAAATTATTATCATAAGAGCTTATTATCACAAATACTGTTCTGTTTTCCTTTGCCCAGTTTCTTCCAGCCTAAATTTTCCCAGCAAGACCCAGAGAGGGTTTTGCACTCAGGCAGAGCCCACCATGTCCTTCCAGGGCCTCAGTGCCAGCCAGGGCACCTTCATCCTGCCCTGCTACCCCCTGTCCTCCCCCAGGACCAGTCCCAAGCACCTCTCCTCTCCAGCTGCATCTCCAAGGAGGGCCCAGGACAATCCCATGAACCTCTCCAACTCCTGGCCTCGCAAAAGCTTCGAGGGGCTACCTAAGCCTGGCTCCCAGAAGCAGCTGCTCAGCCCAGAGTCAGGAGACAACACAGGTGGGAACGTTCTCAGTGTAACAAAAAGGCATTTTGGGGTTGGATTTTGAGGGGTTTCAAGCAGTGGGCAGAAAACCCACAGTGGCAGGTGAGAAGGAGCTGGGCAGTGCCAGGAATGGGAGGGATTTCCAGCTGCCCTGCTCACAGCCCTGCAGGCTCCTCCTAAAAAGTGAAGCCTTTGCCATAAAGCACCGCTGTGTGCTTCAGCTCTGCTTTCCTCCCCAGTGATGTCCTCAGAGGAAAAGGAAACCAACCCCCAAAATGGAGCACTTCCAGAGAAAGCCAATAAGAAATACCTGTATTGTTAATGCTCTAATTAATGCACGTGCAAGGAAAGTGTTGCTCCTGCACTTTGTCTTTTATTTGAATCATGGAATCACGGAGGGGTTTGGATTGGAGGGGACCTTAAAGCTCAGCCGGTTCCAGCCCCTACCTTGGGCAGGGACACCTTCCACAAGCAGGAATTGCATTTGGGAGTGGACACATCAGATTGTCCCCACTCAGAACAGCTTGTTAAAACCTGGTTGCAAACAGCTGTGTCCCTCATGAGCAGAATTGGTGCTGATTTCATCCCAACTCACACTGACGTGGCACAAACTGCTCTCTGTGCTCTGATTTCCTGTCTGAAATCCTCCTGTACACATTAGTGAACCTTAATAATAACCTTGAATAGTTTTAACATTATTTAATTACAGTTACTTAAACAATTTAGCTGATTTCTTTCAAACACTCATTAAAGGCAATCTTATTTTAGGTCTCTACTCTTTGTTTAGTTTAAATTGATTCCTAATCACTCAGGAGGCTCCTATAAACAAAGTAACAGTTTCCACATCAAATGAAAGAAATCTGTTTGAAATTTCATCTTCTTTGAGACCCATATTTTGTGCACATGTAGCAAATCTCTAACTGAATGCTTTGGGAGTCACCTGTCCCTGGAATGTGCCTTTATTACATAGATGTGGTTGTCCCTTGCTGATTTTCTCTGTGTTGTCCACATGCATTTCAATTTTTTTGTCTGTGTTTTGGAGTAACTTTGTTGTTACAGAATTACAGGGGAGTTTGTTAGGGCATGAGTCTTTCTTTTCTTCATTAAGAAAGGTAATTACTTTTTAAAGGGACTTATAAGAGCTTATCATCACAAATACTGTTCTGTTTTTTCCTGTGGGGCCAGGAGTTGGACTTGGATGATCCCTGTGGGTCCCTTCCAGCTCGGGCTGTTCTGTGATTCTATGTCGGTATGCACAGGCATGAAACACTAATTTTTGTTTTCTTAAAGGAAGGAGACAGTAGAAGTGGAATAAATTGGTAACTGAGGCTGCACAGGTGTGTTTTGAGCACTCCTTTCGTGGCAGTTCTGTGGTGTGACCCAGAACCGAGGTGGGCAGTTTGTCCTGGGGCTGTCCGTGCCACCCCTCCAGAGCCCTGACACCTTGCTGTGTGTTCCCCAGGGGAGAACGTGCTGGAGAAACCCTCCCTGCAGCTGAAGCCCACGGTGGTGAGACCCCCCCTGCCGCGGCGGGGCCTGCCCGGGGCCCGGCCCGTGCCCCCCATCCCGCGCCTGGGCAGGGCCGGGGCCGGCGAGGACGCCTGGCTGGGGCAGCTGGGCAGGGAGCTGGCAGCGGGGCTGGCACAGCTGCACCTGGATGCCGAGGAGGTGGACCAGGAAGAGGTGGGTTTAAATGTGGTAAAACACACTTGTAGGGCGCTGCCCCATCCCTGGCAGTGTTTGAACACCCCTGGGTCCCTGGAAGTGTCCAAGGCCGGGTTGGATGGGACTTGGAGCAGCCTGGGCCGGTGGAAGGTGTCCCTGCTCAGGGCAGGGGGTGGAACAAGATGAGCTTTAAGGTCCCTTCCTGCCCAAACCATCCCGGGATTCTGTGACTCCATGGCTTTGCCTTTCTGTTTCTGTACCTTCCATCCTCTGGTCCCCACTGAAAGGAAGCTGAGGTGGGAGACAGCCAGAGGAGGAATTTTTTAATGTGAAATATATTGAGCAAAAAAGGAGGGAGGACATGCAGTAGCATCAAACTCTAGTAATTGTAGGTTTCCCTGCTTGTTTGAGTAGGATCTTGTGCTTACTGGGCACTGATTGCAGCATTTACTTCTGCATGTAAGAGAGTAGGTTTAAATGGGATGTATGGAAAAAATTCCTCCCTGGAAGGGTGGGGAGGCCCTGGCCCAGGTTGCCCAGAGAAGCTGTGGCTGCCCCTGGATCCCTGGATCCCAAGGCCAGGTTGGACAGGGCTTGGAGCAACCTAGAGCCAGTGGAAGGTGTCCCTGTCCCTGGAACTGGAAGGGCTTTAAGGTCCTTCCAGCCCAAACCATTCCATGGTTCTGGGACTGTGGGTTGTGCAGATTTGCTGGGGAAAGCCTGGGGTCCCTCTGTGTGTGCTGTGAGCCCTCACACCCTCCCTCCAGTCTGTCAGAAAACATACAGCAGTTGATTTACTTTTGCAACAGTCTGTCCTGGTGCTTTGGGAAGTGGAGCTGGGATACAGCATCCTTAGGAAGCTGCATTTCCTTGCAGGATAATTCCTCTTGTGAAGTAAAACAAGGGAAGGGATTGTTTTAATGTGATAACCCGAGTGAGTGGTGGTCACGTTGCCCATCAGGGACTTGAAAATTGGACTGAACACTCAGAAATGTACTTTATTTAGCTTACCACAGTTTCTCCCTGTGCACTGACTGCCCCCTGTCCCTTTTCCCTCCTGGGCAGATGCAGAATTCCCTGCGCTCCCTGCGGAACAGCGCGGCCAAGAAGAGGGCCAAGCTGAGCAGCAGCATCGCAGACCTGGAGAGCCCCGACCCTGCAGTTAAACTGGATGGCTCCGGGGACTGCCCCTCCCAGGGCTCCTCCCCCAGTGAGAGTGGCATTTACAGCCAGGAATCCCTGCCCTCCCCCGTGCCCACCCTGCCCCGAAGGAGGAGAGTGATGTGAGTGCCCCTCTGTGTCCCCTCACACGGGCCCTGCTGCTCTTGCTTAAATGATAATATTAAATTATACTCCTTTTATGTAAAATTGTTTTGCTTAACAGCTTGATTTTTTTTTTCCTTTGTGAATAATTTTAATATCTAAAAATGCAAGAGTTGCATGATTACGTTATTCCAGGTTTTTTCTGGCTTGTAAGGTGAAGGAGTTCCCTTAGAGCCCAGGGCAGGGAGGCACTGCCAGGGGAAGTAAATATTTGATGAAGACTTTACAGGAGGGACATGACCCGTGGCTGAGCAGGGGAGGGAGGGGGAGAATGAGTTAAGAGCAAGGATAAGGTTGGCTTATTATGGCCTGGAAATTGAAGAAGGAACGGGTTGGGTTCTGTGAGAAGGGCAAGACAATGTGGATGTTTCTTATTGTGAACAAGAACTGTTTCCATTTTATTGCTGGCAGATAATTGTTAGTTTAAAATGCCTTCACAGAGCTCTTCTAAATAGGAGTTGTCTGATGGCACCCTGTAAAGGGCAATAACCCAGTTGGTTACGAGCACTATAAACTGTTTTTTAATGAAATAAAGAAGTTTTTCAGGAATTTGCCGGTCTCAGGGCCAGTGATAAAGCTGTTTGTAGCTCTGATCCGAAGATACCTTTTATTTTTGTGTGTACCAAATACATCTTTATATAGAACCATAGAATCCTGGAATGGTTTGGGTTGGATGGGACCTTAAAGATCACCCATTTCCAACCCTCCCTTCCATGTGGCTGGCATACAACTGTATTAATAGAACAGAAGGAAGGAGAGGGAATAAAAAAGGAAAGGTTTTTGAGACTGGAATGATTCACAAACAGAAGGTTTTCACAGTTGTGCAGCTCAGAACCAGTTTATATTCACATCCCTTCCCTATATACATCACTGCTGAGTCACAGTTTTATAAATAGTATTTAAAATACCACAATAAAGTGCTGGAATACCTAAAAAGTCAGGGCTCTAAACTCCTGAGTGTCCTGCTGTGCCAGGCCAGGCCATGCCCTGTCCACCATGCCATGGCCATCAGGCTGAGCTTAATGTTTTACAGGATCCACAGAGCCAGGGATTCTGACCCAGCAAGGAGGAGAGGCAGTGAGGCTGACTTTGGAGAAGTGACAGAATCCCTCCCAGATGACACTGAAAGCCTTGGAATGTTCATAAAAATGCCAGAGAGTTTAGCTCAGATGGTGGTTTGTGAGCACTGGAATAAATTGGCCTTGTCTGTTCACAAAGTATCTGTGGTTGGGCAGCAAGAATGTGGGGTTTGGGTGTGTTTGCTCTTGGAATGATTTGGTTTATCTGCTGATAAACTGCTGTGGGAGCTGGATACTGGTATTAGTGATGTTCTTGGAGCATGGACCTTCCTTTGGATCTTAAAGAGTGTTTATTTGTGAGACATGGAGCAGCTCCTGTTTCCCTGTGCCCTCACCCAGCTGGGCACAGAGCTCTGGGCTGAATCATCTTTAATATTCAGAGAATCATTAAAAAAAAAGAAATATTAGTTGTTCTTGTAGATAACAGCATTTTCCTGGTAAACAGGAACAGCTGGGAACAGCTCATGCCTGGGAGTGACAGATGGATCTGGTCACTCTGCTGTGCCGGGCTGGAACCAGCATCATCAGTCCCCAGGCCAAGCAATTCCTTCCTTTTTGAATGTATCCCAGATTTATTCCTGGTGTAAAGTTTCCTCGTAAGGGTTGTCTTTATGTTGTTCTTCATAATGGACCTGCTCATCAAATAATTCCTCCTGGATTCATTTTCCTCTCCAACTCAGTGTGGGCATTTGTGGAAATACTGGAAATATTTGTCCAGGGAGAAACTGAAATCTGTTGTTGTTGTTGCTATAAAGTGTTCTTAGCTGGGTTCTGACTAGAACTGTACCTATAAACTGTGTTTATTTGAACAGGTCAGACACCTTTCCACTGCTTGGCAGCAAATCCCATCCTGCAGAAGGATCTCCAGGGAGGAGCAGAGAGCCTGGTGTGGCAGAGCATCCCTGCAGCACAGGTGTGTTGCTGGCAGAGCACACCCTGGTCACTGAGGGCACAGAATGGCCACTGGAGGAGGCTGTTCTCATGTGTTCTGTGAGCTCACGTCCTTTCAACACTTAAAAAAAGGTCATTTTGGGGTGCTTTGGGGTCCAACTGGGGTTTTAGTGGTGCTCAGGTGAGAAGGAGCTCCAGGCTTGCAAGCAGTTCAATTCCTGGTGGGAAATTGAGGTTCAGTGGTGCTGGTGAGTTTTACCCTTACAGTGAATTCTGCAGATTCCTGTAATGGGCAGAAACTTGTGATTATTTGTGTTTAATCAGCTTGGATTCAGCTGGCTGGAGGAAAGGAGCTGGGGGAGCTGTGTGCACAGGATGGATTAGGCCATGGGATTCCCAAGGAACAGCATAATGAGAGAGCAAATCCTGCCTGTCCATGGCAGCCCATGCTGTGGGTAATGGTTTGGCATTCCTTGGATGAAAAGACCTTTGTGAGGAGTTGACCTTCAGTGTAAAATAATGAGCAGCACATTGATTTTGCTTATTGAGCCCATTAATCAGGCCCTGACCCTGCTGGGAGTGAAGAGCTGAGAGCCTGGTAAGGTCATGGAATCACAGGATGGTTTGGGTTGGAGGGACCTCAAAGCCCATCCAGTGCCACCCCTGCCATGGGCAGGGACACCTTCCACCAGCCCAGGTGGCTCCAACCTGGCCTTGGACACTTCCAGGGATCCAGGGGCAGCCACAGCTTCTCTGGGAATTCTATTCCAATCCCTTCCCACCCTCCCAGCCAGGAATTCCTTCCCAATATCCCACCCAACCCTGCCCTCTGGCAGTGGGAAGCCATTCCCTGTGTCCTGTCCCTCCATGCCTTGTCCACAGTCCCTCTCTAGCTCTCCTGGAGCCCCTTTAGTCCCTGCAAGGGGCTCTCAGCTCTCCCTGGAGCCTTCTCTTCTCCAGGGGAACCCCCCCAGCTCTCCCAGCCTGGCTCCAGAGGGTTCATGTCAGTGTGATGTGAAGATCCTTCAGAGGAGTATTTAGTAAATCCTGTTGGCTTCAGTAACTTGACAATACACTGGTTCAAGAGAGTGATCAATTAAGATATTTTATTCTTCCAAAATGTCACAAAACACGTCCCAGAGCATACCCATGACTTACACTGGGTGATGTTTGTCCCTCCAGGCCTTGCAGAGCCAGTGTCTGGTTTTGCACCGATGGATGATCTGGGTTTCCTGTCTGGGGACACCGTGGTGGTTGTTGATAAAGGTATTACAGACCCAAAGTTACCTCCTGTATCTCACTGAGCTTTTGAACTGTGGGAAAACGTGCCTCTATAGAGTGGGAGAAGAAAAATAAGCTGCTTACAAGGTTTTTTAGATGGTGAACAATTCCCAGTTTAATGGGAATATGAAGAATTGTACTTGAAAGGGTTGCAGTTCCTGGATAGACAATTCCATTCATGACAGAGGAATTGAACTGGATGAGCTTTAAGGTCCCTTCCAAGCCAACCCATCTGTGATCCCCTGCTCTGCCTTGCAGGTGTTTTTGGGAGCCCCCCTGCCCGTGCTCACAGCCAGTCCCTGCCGTGTGTGGCCAATGGAGATGACCAGGGGGTCAGGGAGGAGACTGAGCCATCCCCAGGGATCCCTGGGAGAAGCTTCCAGCAGAACAGTGCTTCCCATTTCCATGCTGACAATGACAGAGAGGTGAGAACTGCAGGGCTCTGATCCCATCTCGTCCTGCTCTTAGAGCTGTGAGTCCAGCTGGACACAGTCACAGGCTCTGTGTCAGGGGAGCAAGAGCTGGATTAAACAGCCCAGGCCATCCAGCTGCTGCTCCCTGATTTTCCTTTTGGTTCCATCTGGATATTTTACAATGGCAAATTGCCCTGTCAGAAGCTTCCCTCTTAACTCAGAAAGAGCCTCTGGACAAGGGCTGCAGGAGGGGATGGAGCTGGAAAACATGCTCTGTGACTCCCACAGCACATGGAGGTGTGGAATGAGGGATGGGCTGGGTTGGATCACGTCCTGTTTTCTCCAGAGGTTTATTAAACTCCATTCTTAAGATATTTTACAAACCATCTGAATATCTGCCCATAATCTGCTGTTTGTTAAATACTGTTTACAGCTGTGAATGGAGTGAGATTTACCTGAGTGAAGTATGACATGAAACTCAGAAGTTCTGCAAGCCTTTAAAATAACATTTTACCATGACTAAAACTTGAAGTTAATGATAAAAAGTGTCTGAATTTTCCTGTTTCCACTGAAGATGTGAATCCTTGGGGGGGATCAAATTGAAAGGAGTAAAGGGAGGGATGTATTAAAAGTTGCTGAGACTCCTAAGGAGCAAAAAGTGTCAAACACAAGAGAGGGAGTAGGGTCAGATCCCACTGGTGAAAATGCAGATTTTCCATGCTGACCTTGCCAACATCAGGAACTGGGGGGTGAGTTATTGGGTAACTTGTGCATGAATTTTTTGCAGATAAAAGTGACCATGTCAAAATCTGCCCAGGATAAGCTGAGGAGGAAGAGAAAAGAAGAAAAAGAACTCAATCACAAAGAGCATCAGGAAGGCAAAGACCTGGAAGGGAAGGAAGAGATCCCTTGGGAAGGGCTTAGACTGAGTATGAGTGAACCAGAGAGACTGACAGCAGAAAGTGAGGATGAGGGTTTGTCTCAAATGAATATCCACTGTTAAATGCTGCTGGAAGGGGCATTAGGAGTGGAAATGCTGGTTTTTAACCGTGTTCTGATTTGTTGTTGTTGTGATCTGGACGTTTCTAGGGTTTAATCTCTGTGGGGATATTTTAACATCGCCAAGAAACGGATCTTTGTCCTTAGAAAATGTGGCCTTGAATCCTTCTCTGAGAAGAACATCCAGTTTGAAGAGGTCAAAGTGTTCACCCTTGCTGGATTCTGGTAAGCTGGGACAGTAAAATTTGGGTATGTCTAGTGGGAGAGCACCAAAATGCAATTTATTTGTGAAAGAGACAGTCCTGAGGTGCTCTGGAGCACCAATACTGTGGTGGTGGAGGGGATTTAAATCATCACTGGGGATTCAATTAATCATTTTTCACCTATAATCTGTTAGGAAGGTGTTTTAAACGTCAGAGGGTTTTTATTTGTTCAGCAACTTGTATAATGTAATATATTAATGACAAATGGAGTCCCTTCTGTCCCCAGAAAAATCATTTCTTGGTCTGTTTGGGCACTGAGTTGCCTTTAAAATGTGCAGTAGAAAGACTTTGAGAATAGAAGCTCCTACTGATGGTGGTCCAAGGTCTCCAGAATTTCTCAAGAGGCTCTTAAAGGTTGTGTTTTAGCACACCGTGCCTCATTTTTCACATTTAACAATTTGTGTTTGTGACTCTTTATAGCGGTGGTTGTGTGCAAAAAAAATTAATTTATATGAATGAAACCAAATCACTGAGGATATCCCATCCCTGGAAGTGTTCAAGGCCCGGCTGGAGCAACCCAGGCTTTTGGAACTGCGGCAGGGGGTGGCACTGGGTGGGCTTTAAGCCCTTTCCCACCCAAACCATCCCACGATTCCATGTCTCTTGGAAAACCCGCTCCCTGTAGCAGCCCTCTCTGCCTCAAGCTTCTTGTATCTCCTGTTTTTGCCCCCCTGGAGCCCCGGGGGTGCTGTCACTGCCTGTGGATGTTGTGCCCGCAGATGAGGCGGCGCGGGGCCGGCCCAAGGAGCAGGTGACCCACAGCCCCGAGGTGCTGGACCCCTCGGAGCTGCAGCCCTTCCCCAGGCCTGACACAGCCCTGGCAGAGGCCCTGGCACTGCTGGCTGACGACGACTGGTGGGTGCACACCGAGCTCGGGGGGCTCTGCGAGCTGCTGGTGGGGGGAACTGGCTCCCAAACCCGGCCTGAGGGGAATGTCACACACAGCGAGGGGGGCTGGCAGGGACACGGGGGAAAGGGGGGTTTGCAGCCCAGCCTGAGGTTAAACCGAGCTTGCAGAGACCTGCAGAGATGTCTGAGCTTAAGGACTGTTCTGGAGAGGGCCCACCAACACCTTCCTGGTGCTGTCTGTGGAGCAGAAGCACCTTCCTGGTGCTTTCTCACTCTGGAATGTGGTTCCAGTGCTGCTGTCTTCAATTTGGGGGAGGAAAGAGATCCTTTCATTGCCACTAGTGCAAGCTGGGAACAGAACTGTGGGACACAGCTGAGAGCCTGCTGGGCTGAAATAGTCCCACATTAAAGGAAAGGCTCACTTGGAAAAGGATTTTCCTGCATTATTTCTTCCCTGGGAGGGTGGGGAGGCCCTGGCCCAGGTTGCCCAGAGAAGCTGTGGCTGCCCCTGGATCCCTGGAAGTGTCCAAGGCCAGGTTGGAGCAACCTGGGCTAGTGAAAGGTGTCCCTGTCCATAGCAGGAATTTGAAATATGATCTTTGAGGTCCCTTCCAAGCCAAACCATTCCATAACTCCATGACTGTCATTGCTTCATTTTACAATCCCAGTTTGTTTGCTGTTTGATTTCTTAGAATTTTAATATTGTCGTGAAAATTCGCAGGTGGTTTGGACTTGAAATATTATTTTTTTGCACCCAGGGAGAAGAAAATTGAGGGTCTGAACTTTGTCAGGTGCTTGTCTGCCTACCACGCCCCTGTTCTGACTGCAAAGCTCCACGAAACAAGTTTGGCTGTGGCTCAAGAGGTTAAATTTTCCTATCTGAACATTCCACTGGCTATATGTGTGTATACATGTATTCTATAGCTCTCTGAAGTGAATTGTTATGTTCAACTGTGGTGAGTTTTCCTCAAAAAAAGTCTCTCAAAAGAGACTGAAAACACATAGATTGTAACTTTATAACATTTTTATGAGTATCTGTTTTAATTCTCACCCTTTGTGAATCAAGTTAAAAATGTATTTCTCCGTTGCTTTTAACGTTACTTAAAAAATGACAAAGGGAAACATGAAGCTTTGTTTATTTTGAAGTCTATTTTATCACCGTTATTCACTGTTTTTTGGGTCTTTCCTGTGTGCAGGTCAAGAATTTACGCTCAGGTGTTTCTCGAGCTGCTGTGGTGTGTTTAGGGGATTTGTTCACCCACCTGAAAAAGAGCATGGATCAAGAACTAGATAATGCAGTAAAAGTCCTTTTGCACAAAGCTGGGGAATCCAACACTTTTATAAGGGAAGAGGTAGACAAGGCACTGAAGGCCATGGTTAATAATGTGACTCCAGCACGTGCACTTTGTTCTCTTATAAATGGAGGGCAAAGGTAATTCCTATACAGATTTTATGAAGAAATAACTTGTGAATAGAGTCAATTTGTTATGGGCTTTCTGAAAGAAAATCAAAAATACAAGGGACAGAAATTAGAAAAGCCAGCTTTGCTAACTCTCTACCCAGGGCAGTGTTTGTTGGGATAAAAGCCCCCCTGTTCCTTTCTGTGCTTTATGTAAGAAGTCGATTTTGGAGCTTGGTGTATTTTCTGGCCATTTGGCACCACTTTAGTAACTTTATTCGCTGTCACTGCAGTGTTTTTTAGGAAGCTGCTGTATTGCTTTGCCTAGTAAAGCTCACCTAACCCTCTTCTTTCTCATTTGCTCTGCAATCAAATGCTGCTTTGCCCAGATTTCAGCACCCCTCTTTATTCAGAAAGCTGATTTACAACTTACAAATCTCTGGCTGCAAGTACCTTGCTTGGTTTCCTGTTCCTCTCTGGACTGAGCTGGTTCATACCTTTGTGTCTGCATTTCAGTCTCCTTTCCAGGGCTGGTGGCTGTTATTTTCTGGAGTCCCTCAGACATGAGCCTCCCTTTCTGGCTGCCTGCTCTGGTTCTGGCCTGAGCTCCCCTCAGGCTGTAGCAGGAGTTAATTCCCTTCTTTCCATGCCCTCCTGAGTCTGTTTTCCCTTTCCTTCCTCATTCACTGTCCATCAATACTTAAGTCAAGCTCTGGTGTTTCATCTCTTCTCTGTCACCACTTGGTGACATTTCACAGGCTGCATTTCTCCTCATGACACATTTCAGGTGCTCCATTCTGAATCAGTCCTTGGGCTTCCTGCACAGCTCCAAATCCTCACACTTAGTCCTGGTTCAAAATGTTTTCTTTCCTCTTCTGTTTCCTGGGAAGCTGGTGGTTGTGGAATGTATGGATTCAGTCTCCTGACAGCCCCACTGCAGTTCCCTGGGCTTTAAAGTGAAAGGCAAAACTCAGCCTTGGGATGGGTGTCCCATCCCTGGAAGTGCCCAAGGCCAGGCTGGACAGGGCTTGGAGCAACCTGGGCCAGTGGAAGGTGTCCCTGCCCATGGGAAAAGCACTGGATGGGCTTTAAGGTCCTTCCCAACCCAAACCAGTGTGGCATTCCATGATTCTGTGAATATAGAAGCAGCAGACAGTGACACCACCCCTGGCTTTTAATTCAGAAGCCAGTGTTTGAGCAGGGATTAATCTGTTCACAGCTAAGAAGCCTTTTCTTACTCATGGAATACAATATGTTTTAATGGATAACACATCAGGGATTGGCCTAAAGGTGCAGCTTTGCTGGTCCTGACTTCAGGAAACTCTGGCCATGCCAGCAGCAAAGGCCCTGCAGTGCATGGAGCTTCAGCTCTGGAGGCTGTGGCAGGGAATATGGGACTAATTCCAGTGTCCCTGCCCATGGCAGGGGGTGGAACCAGATGGGCTTTAAGGTCCCTCCCAACCCAAACCAGTCTGGGATTCTGTAATTTTTATAATAATTTTTAATTATTCCATGAATAATTAAGCCCATTGTTGTTTGCTTTTGGGAGGTGCTGCTCTAAAGACACTGCACCACTGCTGGGAACTCACCTCTGAGCAGGTGCTTGATCCAGGAGCATGATTCCAGGGCTAGAGCTGAAAGGGATTTTACTTCAGGAATTTACAATCCTATTTCTTGCCTGTATGAGCTGTGTTTAAGGTGTTCTGTGCACACAAAAAGCTTTCCAGCTGGTTTCCACGGGCAGGGCTATTCCTGGGGAGCAGGGGCTTGTTTGTTACGTGGAGTGAGGTCTCAGCCTCACAGCTCTTGTTCTCCCCTCAGAATGTGCAGCAGGAGTTAGAAACTCCTCGAAGGAGGATTTGCAATCCAAACATAAAACTAGAGAGGTTTGAATTTGCAGACTTGTGTTCTTGAACACAAGTGGGATCAGCAGGGACAGCAGGATTTACATAAAAGGTTCATTTGCTGCACGAGTTTGAAAGCTGATTCTGGCAGTTTTTCTGGTTTTCATCAGCACAACTGTTTATTTTTGGCAAAACAGGGGCCATTAGACTTGTGGAGGATCTTTAGAAGTCAGTAGAACTAGAACTAGAATAGCCAATGCTTTATTCAGTTTTACAGTGATATGAAGTCCACAGGATGTGTCTCTGAGCACAGGGAGTTGTTTTCCTTAGAGCTGATGGAAAGGACACAAAGTCATGTGCTTTCTAAAATACTGTACAGTTGTTTAAGGAAAACTAGCAATCAAATTCTAAAATTCCCCTGCCCACGTCCCTGCCCCAGGTGTCCCTGGCCGGGGGTGGCACGAGAGGGGCTCTGAGGTGCCTCCCAATCCACGGCAGGGGGTGATTCCCGGGGTGATTCCCGGTGCGGTGGGCAGGGAGTGCTGTGCGCAGCCCCTGCCCCGAGCTGTCCCTCAGCTGTCCCTGTTGTCCCCCAGCCACCTGCACTCTGCCGTGAGGAGATGCACAGCCCAGCACCTGTCGGAGCTGGTGGAGCGCCTGGGCCCCGAGCGCCTCCTGGGGGGCCCCAGACCCGCGGCCGAGCGGCTGCTCCCGGCCAGCGCCAGGTTTGCACAGGACAGCTCCCAGCAGACACGGTGAGTCACCCCAGGGATGAGCACCTTCCGGGGGGCTGGAACCTGGGAATGGCTCCCTGTGTGTTCCCAGTGTGACAGAGGAGAGGCACGGGATCCCTAAGGGTGGAAAAGATCCTTAAGATCATTAAGGATCATAGTCTCAAGCTGTGCCAGGGGAGGGTTAGGTTGGATATTAGAAAGAATTTCTTTACAGAGGGGGTGGTCAGACATTGGAATGGGCTGCCCAGGGAAGTAGTGGATTCTCCATCCCGGAGATTTTTAAAAAGAGACTGGATGTGGCATCAGTGCCATGGGCTGGTAACCGCAGCGGTGTTGGATCAAGGGTTGGACTTGATTTTGGAGGTCCCTTCCAACCCAGCTGATTCTGTGAGTCTGATAAGGGCTGGATGGGGCTTCGAGCAACGTGGTCTAGTGGAAGGAACTGGGTGGGCTTTAAGGTCCCTTCCAACCAAAGCTTTGAGTCCAGCTGTTATCCCAGCACTGCCAGGACTGTTAGGATAGTGGATGTGGCGGGAATTTCCTGCATACCTGGTGCTGCTGGACACACCCTGGCTGCAGGAAGAAGAGGAGCTCACAGGACATGCTCTGGTGGGCACAGAGGAGATACAGGCCACAGAGGGAGTCATGGCACTGAGATCCACACTTGGATCTGATCCAGACCGTGATGGACAAGGCTGGACCATCCCATTTAAAGGCAGCTGCAGGGGAAGGCTCTTCTCATTAATTTGCTCAGTTGTTGGTTAAACAGTGATCCTTGAGCACAGTGTCTTTGTGGGAGCATGAAAAGGGTCTGGCTACACATATCAACAGCAATACTGGAATCATGGAATTGTTAAGGCTGGAAAAGCCCTCCCAGCCCATGGATCCCCCCTGTGCCCGATGCCCACCTTGTCCCCCAGCCCAGAGCACTGAGTGCCACGGCCAGGCCTTCCTGGGACACCTCCAGGGCTGGGCACTCCAAACCTCCCTGGGCAGCCCCTGACAAGGCCTCACCACCCTTTCCAGGAGGAAATTCCTCCTCCTGTCCCACCTGAGCCTCCCCTGGCCCAGCTGGAGGCCGTTCCCTCTCCTCCTGTCCCTTGTTCCCTGGGAGCAGAGCCCGACCCCCCTGGCTCCCCCCTCCTGTCAGGGGGTTGCAGAGCCAGAAGGTCCCCCCTGAGCCTCCTTTGCTCAAGGCTGAGCCCCCCCAGCTCCCTCAGCTGCTCCTGCTACTCCAGCCCCTTCCCAGCTCCCTTCCCCTCCCTGGACCCAATCTTCCTGCCCTTTTATATTTAGGAATTACACGGCATAATGCCCAAGTTCCAGAGCCAATCCCTGTTTGTGGGCACGGATGTCCTGCTCTGCTCCCTGCAGGTACTATGGTCGGAGGATGCTCTTCAGCATGATGGCCCACCCTGAGTTTGAGAAAGCCCTGGAGAGGTACATCCCAGCCAAGGACTTGCCTTACATTAAGGACGCTGTTGGCAGCCTACGTGAGAAGGTGTGTGGGAAAGCTCTTGTTTAACAGCTGGGACAGGTGAAGGTGTTCTGGGGGCTTTAGTTATAGACAGTCTGCAGCACTGCAGCCACGAGAATTCCCTGTGATTCTGTGATTCCCTGAATTAATGTTGTACCTCTGTGCAGGGTCTGGGGGAGATGCCACTGGACACACCTTCAGCCAAAGGAAGACGTTCCCAGACTGGCAGTGTTGGACATTTGAGGTCGTCCCCCACTTCCAGAGATGCTCTCAGTGTCCCGGACAGGTAACGACCTCCAGTGGTTTATCCTGGGAGGAACTGACCAGGAAGAGAGTATGGAAACATCCACACAGGGCTGGGAAAATGAAACATTCCTGTGGGAAAAGGAAAACCCTGACCTGTCCCAGTTAAAGTCTTAAATACAGTGACTGGTAATTTTGAAGTTAATTTGTCTCTTGACCACCTGTGAAATACACACAGCACACAAACCTCTTGGAATTCACAGTGTGGAATCAAGAATCAGGGAATGGTTTGGGTCAGAAGGGAGCTTAAAGCCCATCCAGTGCCACCCCCTGCCATGGGCAGGGACACCTTCCATGTTGCTCCAAGCCCCGTCCAGCCTGGCCTTGGACACTGGGATCAGTTTTCAGAGTACTTTGAGAATAAAGAGTTAAGCTACAGTAAGTTTTGGGGGCTTTTGACCCACTGATGGGAGGGAAGTTCCCAGCTCTAACTGGTCACAAAACCAGCTGCATTTGGAGCAGAATGGATGTGGGACTTCAGGAACAACAATTACTATTGGGTGATTTATTTTTAAATCACTGTATTTAAAGTGAAAGATTTTCTGTTCCCTTCTGATATTTGCACTTAGATGGGAAGAGAATGTCTGGGATGAGACTCCTGTTCCAACTTGCTCCTGTGCTCACTGAGTAACGTGTTCCTTCCCCACAGGGACACCACAGAGGCCCGTGAGGCCCCAAGGAGAGCAGCTCCTCGTAGTGCCCTGGAAAGTGAAGAGTATGTTAAAGATATTGTGGGTTTGTTGAATGCCAAAGACTTCAGAGAGAGGATAACTGGCATCAGGCAGCTGCTGCTGGATACAGAGAACAGTCCAGGCCTGGTGGTTGCAAATCTCGTGAAGGTAACTGTAGGAAAAGGTTGGATTTCAAAGGTCTTTAAAGTTGGGTCATGAAGATTGCTGATTAAAATCTTGGCTCCCTCTTTGAACAGGAATGATTAACAGAGAGCTTTGAGGAGCAGGGGAGCTCTGGGGGAGCTACAAAGGGATAAGGGAAGTAAATAGGAGGAAAAAGTTGGAAGTTTTCACTCAGAGAAAGCACTTTTGAACTACTGCCCAGAGAAGCTGTGGCTGCCCCTGGATCCCTGGAAGTATCCAAGGCCAGGCTGGACAGGGCTTGGAGCAACCTGGGCTAGTGGGAGGTGTCCCTGCCCATGGCAGGGGTGGGACTGGGTGGGCTTTGAGGTCCCTTCCAACCCAACCCATCCTGGGATTCCATGATTTCTGCAATCCTGTCTGCTGTTTTCATGCCACTTCTTGGTAAATAACAAAATATTGGAATAGGCTGTAAAAAGAGCAGCAAGGATTGATCAAGATCTGAAAAACTGTCTCTGAAGTGGAGTTGTGGGTTGGTTTGTGTGGGAGAAGCTCAGGGTGAGGATCCTGTCTGATAGGAAAGGAGACCTTTCTTTGGGAGAAAAAAGAGGTCCAGCAGCTGTAAATTAAAGACAGATACAGAGGAAGGAAACCCAAGCTTATCCTCCAGCAGTGCCGTGTCTTTGTGTGGAATGATGGAATTCTGCTGTGGAGCTTCCCAGTATCTGAGCTGTGGATGGTTTGAAACCTTTCAAGCGCTGTCTGTGCTAAACAGAGCCACGTCTTCCCAAAAATCCTGGCTTGCAGGAAATTTTAGTCCTAGAGAGTTACAGGTGGCTGTTTTACCTGCAGTCCATTGCCCAGGAGGGATTCAGATCAGATGAGGTGAGAGATGGTTGAGTAATTAAAGTATCAATATATCAAATGCTGCTTTATTTGCTCAAAAAATGATCTTGGGTATTTGCACGTCACAGAATCCCAGAAGGGTTTGGGTTGGAAGGCACCTTACAGACCATCCAGTTCCAGCCCCTGGAGATGTCAGAGCCATGTTTTGCCAAGATGGACAATTGAAGTGTAACAGTAACTCGGGAAATGTGCTGTCCATCCCAGACATTAGTTCCTAGTTCCAAGAGTGCTGTCTGGATGCTTTTCCAGATCTTTGATGCTTTCAAGTCTCGCCTACACGACTCCAACAGCAAAGTGAACCAGGTGGCTTTGGAGACCATGCACAAGATGATTCCACTGCTCAAGGACAATTTGTCACCTGTGATCAACATGTTAATTCCTGCCATAGTAGACAACAACCTCAACTCCAAAAATCCAGGGATTTACACAGCTGCCACAAATGTTATCCAGGCTCTGTGTCAGCACTTAGGTGAGTAATTTACTCTCTCTTAATTTCAAAGAGGTTTAAGTGTTATAATTACCTTCTAATTTGAAGGTGTTACTCTTTCCAAGGGTTTCTCAGGATTGTTACTCTGTGTAACAAATCTTTGGGTTTATTCTCGTACCTTTTAAGCCACACAAGTCATCCTGTATTTTGTCAGTAGGTGGTTTGGTTATTTTTCCAGAGCTGCTGTTTTTTGTGGTGAAGGTGCACAGGTTGCCCAGAGCAGCTGTGGCTGCCCCTGGATCCCTGGAAGTGTCCAAGGCCAGGCTGGAAGGGGCTTGGAGCAGCCTGGGCTGGTGGAAGGTGTCCCTGCCCATGGCAGGGGTGGCACTGGATGGGCTTTAAGGCCCCTTCCAATGATTCTATTAAGAATGTGTTTTTATGCTTTTACTCCTTTAAATCTATCACTGTGATTTTTGAAGTTGGTATCAGTAAGATTCTTATTTACATTTTCCCACAGTGTTGAATTTTCCATTTAGGGATTGTAACCCTGTTTTGCTCTTTGCCTTCAGACACCTCTCTGCTCCTCCAGCCCTTCTGCACAAAGGCCCAGTTCCTGAACGGGAAAGCCAAGCAAGACCTGACAGAAAAGCTGGCTGGTAAAGGGTGTTTGCTTTGCATGTTTGTCTGCTACCATCTTAATTAGGAGAATTAATTGCAGGAGGGTGGTGGTTTATATCTTCCCCTCTGTCACAGTTGATTGTGGGCATAAGATGCAGCAGTTGTCAAACTTCACCTCTTTAATGTAAATTGAAGCTATTGCTGACAAAACAAAGGATGGTAATAATAAAAATAATAATTATTTATTTTATTTATTTGTTTTTTATAATTGAAACATGTGCTTTGTTATATATTTATTGTATATATTTTATTACACACAATACATAATATAAATATATATCATATATCATAGACATATATAATGTATTTTAGACATATATAATATATTTTACATATTCCTTAAATATATATATAACATATTCATTATATAATTTATATATGGATATTCTATTTTCATTATGCATGTAAAAATAATACAAAAACAATTATTCATTATTAATTTAAATTATAATAATTCGACTAATAAATTATTGTTATTATTGTTGTTGTTATTGCTTCAGATGGAGTATTTATAAATACCTGGAATATATAATATGTGTCAATACCTTAAGGGTTTAATTAACATTTAAATACCTTATGTATTTAAGTATCTTAAGGATTAAGATGTATAAATTGCTTAAGCGTATTATAATTTTAATAGGGAATTGCATTCCCTCTGCCAGTGATAATTCTTTCATGCTCTTTCCAGGAATCTCAGAATGGTTTGGGTTGGGAGGGACCTCAAAGCCCATCCATCCCACCCCTGCCACGGGCAGGGACACCTTCCACCAGCCCAGGCTGCTCCAACCTGGCCTTGGACACTTCCAGGGATCCAGGGGCAGCCACAGCTTCTCTGGGAATTCCATTCCAGGGCCTCCCCAACCCTCCCAGCCAGCAATTCCTTGAAAAATGCTAAATTTTCGTGTTTTAAGTAGACAAGGAATGTCCTTATGGGAAATACTCTTGACCCAAACGTGTTCCTTGGCTTCCTTTCAGAGGAGTTCTGTGTGAAATGGAACTAAAGAACACACTGGGCAGTCTGTGCTTGAAATATCCCCACATTTGTGCTTCCCGAGGGTGTTCGTCACCAGCCTTTAAACCCTTCCTCTCTTACTGGGATTTTTTGGAGTTATTTGTATAATGTCAGAAGAGTCTGTTCTGGCAGAAAGGGAAACATTTACAAATGAAACACTGAATTCATTCCTGAGGATCTTACAGGTCTTTTCCAACCTAAATAATTCTGGGATGTAATTGTGCAAGTGAAAAAAATGCTTCATCTTTTATATATATATATAGATATAGATATAGATATATAAATAATTTTTATACATATCCTGTGCAGGACAGGATTTGGACTCAATGGTCCTGGTGGGTCCCTTCCAGCTCAGGATATTTTGTCATTCTATGATTCTGTATTTACAATACAAAGCTACTTTTTTCCTTTAACTCCAATACCTACTGCTTATTTCTGAGATAGAGGGGAAATTGGAAATACCAGATGTTCCTCTGTGAGAAATTAAGGCCCTTTTGAGAATCCTAACTAAGAAAAAAACTTGAAAAAAACCTTTATTTCATTTACTTGTTTTAGTTTAATGGAAAATGGTAATTGTCAGCAGCACTAGTGCTACAGTGTGAACTTTTGGAAGAGGATAAAAGGGGTGTCTGTAAGGAAATCTGGAGGATTTTAGGAGAACACTAATGATGTTGCAACACCAAGCTTTTGTGTAGAGGCAAGGAATCATCTACGTTGTATTTTAAGTGAGTGTTTAAGTTCTGAAAGCCTCCCTGCTGTGTTGCAGACCTGGTGACGGAGCTGTACCCACGGAAGCCCTACGCCGTGGAGCAGAAGGTCCTGGCTGTGCTCTGGCACCTCCTGGGGAACACGTCCAACAGCGGCTCCGTGCCCGGCGCCTGCGGGAGCCTCCGGACAGCCACGGCCAAACTGGCCAAAGCACTGTTTGCACAGATGGGGCCCAGCCTGCTGGCCCACGCTGCAGCCCAGCCAGCCCACATCAGGAAGGGTTTGGAAGAGCTTCTGGAGACAGGAACATAAAATCACCGGCGCTGAGGGTGAAACTCTACCGGCCGCCTGACCCGGCACGCGGACGGGGCTGCGGGACAAGGCGGGAACATCCCTGTGTCACTGATCCACAGGGCTGCAGGGAGCTGCTGGGAGAGCGCACGGAGCTGGGCTGGGACAGCCTGTGGGCTGAACTGGGCTGTGCTGGGACAGCCTGTGGGGCTGAACTGGGCTGTGCTGGGACAGCCTGTGGGGCTGAACTGGGCTGTGCTGGGACAGCCTGTGGGGCTGAACTGGGCTGTGCTGGGACAGCCTGTGGGCTGAACTGGGCTGTGCTGGGACAGCCTGGCTGAACGGAGCAGTGTGGGGCCGGCTCCCTCCCTGCCACCGGCACGGCCATGGAGGAGTCGCTCCAGCCCATCTGTGCTTCCTTTTGGAGGACCCAGCCCAGGCCCCTGGATTGCTGGTGAATAACTACACACGGTCACATCAGCACTGTGCTTTGCATGGATGAGTGGAGGAGAACCCTGGGCACAGGGGTGCAGAACCACAGCGTTCTGTGTGCTGTTTGTGAAGAACATGTATTTTTGTACCCCCTCAGGCAGTTGTGCAGTGTTGGCTGGGCAGGAGGCACCACTCTGGTGGTCCCTTCTCCTTCCCCAGCCACGAGCTCTCTACGCGTTGGACATGGGACCTGATGGGATAAATAAATAAAGGGATTTATTTCTGTAAAGGGATGTATTTCTCTGAAGGAATGGGTTGGAGTGGCTGCTGGCAGAACTGGTATTGGGGGTGCTGGTGACAGCAGATGAATGTGAGCACAGGTGGGCAAGAAGGCCAGTGGCATCCTGGCTTGGATGAGCAACAGTGGGACCAGAGCAGTGACTGTCCCCTGTGCTGGCACTGGTGTGGCCACACCTCAAATTCTGAGTCCCTCAATTCAGGAAGGACATGGAGGGGCTGGAGCGTGTGCAGGGAAGGGAGTGGAGCTGGGAAGGGGCTGGAGCAGCAGGAGCAGCTGAGGGAGCTGGGGGGGCTCAGCCTGGAGAAAAGGAGGCTCAGGGGGACCTTCTGTCAACTCCCTGGCAGGACATTGCAGTGAGGTGGAGTTGGGCTCTTCTGCCGTGCCTGCAGAGAGGAGCAGAGGAATGGCCTTATTTGAGACAGGGGCGATTCAGATTAGACATTAGAAAAAACGTCTTCACTGAAAGGGTGTTCAGGCACTGGAAGGGGCTGCCCGGGGAGGTTTGGAGTCCCCCCCACGGAGGTGTTTGGGGCCGGGATGTGGCGCTGGGCGCTGGTTTCAGGATTACGGTCTTGGTACTGAGGGGAGGGTTGAGCTGAATGATCCTAAAGGTCTCTTGCATCCTTGACTATTCTCTGCCTCTGTGGTGTGTTTCAGTGCAGCGCTGTATTTATTTCCCTACAGGGATGTGTTTAATTTCCGTTCAGTTCCGCGTCCCGGCTCCTGAGGGGAGCGGCGCCATTTGGCGGGAAGGGGCTGAGGCGGGGGGGAGGGGCGGTAGGGGTTGTTGCGCAGGCGCGGCGGGAGGCGGGCGGTGCGCGCGCGCGGGGCGCTGTGCGCGTGCGCGGTGTGCGAGGCCCGGCGGCGGCTGCGGAGGCGCCGGCAGGTACCGCTGAGGGAGCGGGGCTGGGGGAGCGGGGCTGGGGGAGCGGGAGGCTGGGGGCTGAGAGCGGGGCCGGGAGAGGGGCTGGGCGGGAGGAGCCGGGCGGGAGGAACCGCGGGCCGGCGGGCCGGGGACAACCGGGCCGCAGAGAGCCGGGCCGGGGGGGGGGCGGGGGCCGGGCCGGGCCATGCGCCTCGTGGGCCCCGCCACCTCCCGCGGCCGGGCCTCGGGTCCGCCTCAGGGGGAACCCTGTGGTGGGGTGTGTCCCTGGTGTGTCCCCGTGTCCCTGCTCGCTGCGCTGGAAGAGCCGCCGCGCGGTGCCGGCCCCGCTCGGGTGTGTGACGTTATCGCTCGTTCGGGCCCAGAGGGGCCGAGGGCGGGAGGGAACGGCCCCAACCGCGCCAGCAGGGACATCGGGGGGATTTATCCGTGGGAAGGGTGGTGAGGCCTTGTCAGGGGCTGCCCAGGGAGGTTTGGAGTGCCCAGCCCTGGAGGTGTCCCAGGAAGGCCTGGCCGTGGCACTCAGTGCTCTGGGCTGGGGACAAGGTGGGCATCGGGCACAGGGGGATCCGTGGGCTGGGAGGGCTTTTCCAGCCTCAGTGGCTTTGGGCACAGGGGGGATCCATGGGCTGGGAGGGCTTTTCCAGCCTCAGTGGCTTTGGGATTCCGTGATTCAAACCCGGTCCTGGCACGGCCACGCGGGTCCGGGCACTCCCGGCCCTGCCCCGGGTGGTTCCAGCAGCGCTTTATCAGCGCCGGGAACGGGCAGAGCTCAGATGGGGCTCCGCGTTCCCGCTCCTGCCCCTTTCAGCTTTTCCTGCCCCTTTCCCGTGGGTTCATTCCCGTTTATAAGCGGCAGTTCTGAGTACAGTAGTCTTTTGCTGGAAACAGGGTTAATGAAACACGCTGGTATGAATTATTTAATACCCATGTGTGTAGGTGTCTGATACGCCAGTTCGGTTATTTAACCTGAGTATTTAACCTGAGTGGTGTAAAAACTCCTGGAATTACGGTAAAAGCCCGGAATTAGGGTGAGAAACCCTGGAATTAAGGTAAAAAAACCCCTGGAATTAGGTTTTCCTGGTGTGCCCCCGCCCTGTGCCCACCCACGGAGCTCCCCGGGCTGGAGCAGTTGGTGGCCCCGGGCATGGCCTGTCCCGTTGGCTGGTTCAAACCGTGGATTGCTGTCAGATTTTTGGGATAGGCCCCAGCTCCAGGGACGGGACTGGAACAGCTGTCAGGCAGACTTGGAGTCACTTTGTAACCTCGTGTGCAGCTCAGACCACGTGTGGTGATCCTGTGCTGCTTCTCCCTCTTCCTTTTTTCCCCTCCTAATCTGAGGATATGTGGATTGTTTTTTTAAGCTGGAATACATCTTCTGAATCAGCTGGAGGGGGAAGACGTCTGTTACACATCAGAATAAGTTTAGGCCCTGTATTATTCCATGTTAAAAACTCTTGCATTTGTTCCTAGAGTCATGGAATCGTGAAGGTTGGTCACCAAGTCCAGCCATCCCCCAGCTCTGCCAAGGCCACCACTGCCCTGGGCAGCCTCTTCCAACACCTGACCACCCTTTCCATGAAAAAATGTCTCCTAATATCCAATAAATCTCCCCTGGCTCAGCATGGGGCTGTTTCCTCTCATCCTGTCACTAGTTACCTCTGTCACTAGTTACCTCAAGTTTTAGAGCTGTAAACATCCTCTAAACTGTGTTTCCAAGTGCTGAGGCTGCTGTTTGTGTCACACCCTCCTCTCACCCCTGTTTTTATGACCCTGAACAGCAGTGGCTGTTTGAGTGATTCAGCCCTGTGCATGTTGCACTGGTAAAGGCACAGATACTGCTCTGATATGTAATGTATTAACTTAGAAATGTTGTTCATTGTCAGAATAATAGAATCCCAGAATGGTTTGGATGGAAGTTTATCCCATTCCACTCCCTGCTGTGGGCAGGGACAGCTTCCCCTATCCCAGGTTGCTCCAAGCCCGTGGTTCCCACCTGGTGTATCCAATGGAGAACAGAAATACTTTGAGAAAGCAGTTATTAGAAAATAGCAGAGTACACCACATGGAGCCTTTAACATTGTGCCAGAGTTCCTTGGCTTGGTGAACTCCTGGGAAAACGGGAACTGTCATCCCAGATGTTGGAGCTGCCAAAGATAAGGGAGAGAGATTTTTCCTTTCTGTAAAGGATTTTCCTCCCGCTGTTTCACTGGTGGTTTATCAATGTATTTGTTGGAGTGAAAGCAGTGGTCTGGCTGTTCTCTGTCCAGGCTTTCAATAGGAAAGAGCTCTGGAGAGACGTGGGATGGAGACTTCTCTTTTCTCCTTTAAATGCAAAATGTATTTGCCGCCTCCTCCGAGGAAAGCAAAGGAACAGGAGTGGTGCAGTGTGTTTGAGGGTGTCAGTCTCCCACTGACTCCTAGTTAGACTCCCAGCTCTGAGCTGTTGTGCCCCGGATGTTGTTGTTCCCTAGGATCCATTAGCCATGGTGGGCACGGAGAAGGCTGCCCCGAGTGCCCCCTGCTCCAGCTCCAGGCGGGCAGGCCGGATCAGCTGGCACACAGCCAGGTCAGGCTGGCCTGGCACCGCTGCAGGAGGGCAGGGCTGGCCAGTGGCTCCTGGCAGGGAGATCAGAGGCAGGAGTGGGAGGAAGGAGGAGTCTGTCCTGAGGGACTGGAGGAAGAAGGAGTCTGTCCCAAGGGGTGGGAGGAAGTGCCTGGCACTGGGTGTGGGTGGGATCAAGGGGCAGCCTGAGCATTTCTGTGGCCCTCTGGTGCTGGTTGGCTCATTTGGACTTCACCAAGGGGAACTGAGTCTGGTGCTGACAGTAATTCTTGTCTTTGCAAAGTCGTCACTTAACCCAAGCACTGAAGATACATTTTACCACCTGTTTATTTTGCAAAGAAATTACTGATTTGTACTAAGTAGGAGAACTGAATGGATTTAGGGACATGGGTTAGTGGTGGCCTTGGCAGGGGTAACTTGGATTTTACGGTCTCAGAGGGCTTTTTCAACCTGAATGATTCTCTGGGATTTGAACATAATTATTTAGAATAAACTTCCACTGGACTCCTCCAGGGAAACTGTAATGATTCACTTTTACACCTCAATAGCTCCCTGTGGTAGTTTTTTAGAAAACCCACCCCAATTTGGATGAGCAGATGTACAAATCTCTGGCTGCTGTAACATTTCTTTGGTGGAGAATAAGGCTGGTGCACGAAGGGATGTAGTGAGGGCTGTGGTGCAGTACAGGGTGCCTGGAGTGCTTGGCAGGCTCTGAGCTGCTCCCTCCCAGCCAGCTGTGGGCGAGCCCTCGCTCCAGGAGTGCTGAGCTGTTTGCTTTGCACAGGCTCTGGTATCACCCTGCGCCATGGAGAGCGCCGAGGGCACGGAGGAGGAGCAGCCCACAGTGAGCAGTGATGGCCCCGAGCCCGCGGCCCAGGAGCAGCACATGGACTTCAGCACCGAGATCATGAGTGTCACCGAGATGGAGCAGTCCCCGGACAGCTCCCCGGACCTGCACGAGGAGAGCACCCAGGAGAGCGAAATTCCAAACATTGAGAGCTTACAGACCACGGACATTGAGGCCGGCTTCCCT